GCCGAATCAGATCCAGTCACACATCAGCATTCCTTGAAGTGCATTAGCAACAATAGCAGGAATTAAGAAGCAGAAATACCTTGAGCCAGTGGCGTAACCAGTTTTTCAAATTCTGTGGATTTGTTGTAGCACTGTAGCTTTTAGAGGTCTGCATTCCTTCTCTGAGAAGTGTAATACCACAGTGCAAGGGAGAAATATTTATCCAGCCATAGATTACTTTCTCCCCCCGCTTTTTTTAAATTATTTGTTTGCTTGTTTAAATACAATCATAGCTGCTGAATTCTCACCTTTAGGAAGAAATACGAACCTTTAATGTAAGAGTATCACAAGTATGCAGATGTTTCTCTGAGGCTCAAGTTTCTTCATATTTTCCCATGTAAAATACAGTATCCTTTGTATGAGATATTGCAGAAAGGGATAGAGGTACTGCAATTCACTTTTCCTTTGCAGGACTGATGAGAGAAGAGTAAAGTAGTACATTTTGGTCTTCCTCAACTACAGCAAAGATAGAATGGAACATGCTTCTGCATGTTTGGGCCAGGTCTGTCCTCCAGACATCATCTTGTTCATACAGTTAGATTAATATTAGAATGGTTTGCCATATATAGCTTGCCAGGAACGTTCATCTTGCAGTGACAAAGATATAATTTGTTGTACTTTTGATCACTACCATAGATTGGAGAAACAAGACTTGTTTGGATTTTATCTTGCAACTTGATGTCTCTGCGTGTGTGTAGGCATCAGAGGTTCTTAGAATCTAAAATGAGTCATTAAGAGTACTTAGGTAACTTGCAGTATGTGGATGACATGGCAAGGCGAGCCCATTCAATGAGACTTGCTTAGCAGAGACAGAACGCTATTACAGTTAGGTAGATTTAATTATCTATTCTGTGAGACCTAGTAGTACTGTACCTTTAGATAGAAAAAACATGCTGGAAAAATGCACAGACTTGGCATTTCACAAATCCTTATATTTAGTGTTAAATCCTAAGCATAAGCAGGAACAGCTACACTATCATTTTGTGTTCAGCAAAGTTTCTTGTTTATGTAACATGGTGATTATTGTATATGCTAATGAAAGAGTAAGTGGGTTTACTTAACAGTCCAGGGACTTAGTTTACTTCTAAGTAACTGCCTGAGTTCAGCTGGTTTAGATTTTGCTATCAGGAAAAGAGTACTGAGGCAGTTAATATATGCAGTGTTTATTTCAGAATTAAAATAACAGGATTGTTTTGATGTCTTTTAGACTCCTGACAAACTTTGTTTTTAAAGCATTTACCTGAAGTTCTTGCTTGTTATGAATATATAACTGGAAGTTCTCAACGCTTTCTTTACAGCAGTATACTTAAGGAGTGAGACATTAGGTTGGGAGTAATTAATCTGCCAACAATATTTATTCAAGTGGTGATGGTACAATATCTGCTTTGTGATTCTGTGTGCATATTATTAGGTACTTTGAAGTGAGGTTATTTAACTTGTTCATTGCTGCTACTGCTAGGCTTGGAATCCTGCTGCAGAAGACCAGTGTTTTGACAGGTGTCACAGGCTGGGTCAGAAGCATAATGTTGTTATTACTAAGGTGAGTTGAGAGATGATCCCAACAGTTTCCTAGTTATGAATAAATATTTTCAAAAAAGCTTTACTATATTATAAAAATAATTGTGACATCATAGTCTCACCAGTAAACATAAATTGTGGTGTGATTGTTGAAGTATGGGCTTTGGATTGTAAAATTTTAATATTAGAAATCAGATGTCCCTGTTGAGCTATTTGGAGTGACTGAGATGGGGTAGTTTGCTGTTGCTTAGCCTGGCTATTACAGTTCGTTATCTTGAAGGTATATAGAACATTTCTGCCATTGTCATAGCAGCTGGATTAGCTGTGGAAGAGAGCTGGTCTGTCTCGTTAATATCCAATCACAGATGTATTACTTGGAAAATTGAAGACAAGTTCTCTTCTAATATAAGTAGCAAAGAAGAAATAGATATCCTTCCAATAAATTAAAAAAAAAAATAAAAGGTTAAAAAATTAAAATGCCAAACCTTTTCCTTCAACTGCTTTACAACCCTTTTCTTTGTGTTTTACTTACAAAGTAGTAACTAAATAATGTAACTGTACTTTAGGCTGCTTAGCATTTTTTTCCAAAATATCTTAATTTCTCATCCTAAACTTTTGTTTAAAAAAAAAAATTCACATCTTTATTTCAGAGTGTTTTTGTTTGCTTGTTTGTTTGTTTTTATTTCAGTTCATTGTGAAGGATTCAGTGGAGGAAAATATTCTGAAAATTCAGAACAAGAAGAGGGAACTTGCAGCAGGAGCCTTTGCTACCAAAAAGCCTTCAGCAAGTGATGTGAAACAAAACAAAATTAATGAAATTAAGGCTCTGATTGATTTATAGCTTCATCCTGTGGTATTTTCAGTAAATAATATATTTAATGTTTTAGATAATACTGTTCTTCAAGTTATATGTTCTATGCTAACTTTCAGTTTTGCTCTCTTTGTGCTCAAAATATAAATGCTCCAAATAAATTATAAAAACAAATTTGCTCCTAAATGTTAATTTAGAAGCACACGAACTCCTGAAATTATTCCAGTGTTCATTTCTTCAAAAGGTTGCTTATTACGTTCAATGCTTAAGAATACGTAAAAGTCCCTCAAAACGGAAATGTGTATTGATACATTCTAACTTGCAAGCATTTCATCTTTTTTTAGAGGTGAAAAGGTAATAAAAGGTACATAGTATGTGTTTTCTCCTTCAGACAAAACCCTTTAGAAATGAATTAGTTTTGTGTTTCTGTCTCAGTGTTGCCTGATAAACAAACAGATCATCTGGATTGTTTGTTTCAGAATAGGTGGTCAGTGACACTTTGTAAGGAATTTTTACTTTTGCAGGCTATGTCCAAAGATGGTATTTAGTTAAAAATTTTAAAATATTTTGTACTGTTTCTGAATAATATACAGGTGGAGGAGGGAGTCCCTCTGTTGATTACTTCACAGGACCTAGTAAAAAGGAAGTACTTCAGTTTGTAAAACACTTTCTTTTAATATTTTACTTACTCTTAGAAGAATTCCAATGATTTTTATAAAAGTGAAGGTTTTTTTGTTGGATAAAATGCTAGAATCACAGGCATGTATTGATAACATGCTATCTGGTAATTTCAGTAGACACTTTGAACAGTAAGACTGTGCTATATTCAAAGTAGATAATAACCCACTCACATGCCAGTGAATCAGTACAATAAATTGTATCAATTTGTATAATTGTACAATAATTTAAACAAATTATTTTAATAGCTGCCAGCTTTCTAACAGTTTTCTTGTACTGCTTTTCCACTTGTAGTGGAAAAACTACGTGTTTTTCACTTCCATACATGTCTTTATGGAATGCTGGTCTGCATGCTGCGTGATTTATGGAGGAGGAATTTGGTAAGCTACTCATGTTCAGGTACCACAAACTAATAAATAGCACTGAAGAATCTCAGTTGAGTATTAGTTGAATATTCTTGTCTGTTCCTTTCTTTCCATTTGATTCTGGTCTTCTGATATGTGTGTACCTAACATTCTGCTGCCTTCACCCTAATGCTCAGACTTCACATTGGAGGCAGAGGTTGCTATATCTGGGTCCTGTTTAGATTTGGGAAGTGTACTTGGCAGAAGAGAAGTGGAATCTGACTTTGCTTGTAATGCCTTTCACCTCTTCTTATGTCCTAAGAATACCAGCCAGCTGATTGTAAGATGAATTGCAAATATAGGAAAAGGAAAAGGACTGGGAAAATAAAGGGAAGATGTCTACTATTTGGAGAAACAGTGAGCTAATGAAAGAAGTGAGAAAGGAATTAAAAATATGTAACTTAACAAGCTGATGCAGTTTTTGGGAAGCCAGCATCTTAGCTATGGAGAAAAGTGTGCTTTAAGTCTGTTAGAAAAGGAATCAAAAGGGCATGAATGATGGAAGACAGCATGAACCCTGGTGACTGGTTATCACTGGAAAGTTGACAAAAGATAAAAAAAACAGAGCTAAACCTGATTGAAGTTGGTTTTTTTTTGGGAGTTTTTTTGCATAAAGTTTTTCTGGTTCAGATTCTGATATTTAGAGATAAGCTGGAGAAATAATTTGTGATTATGAGGGAAAGATTTGTCTTTGTTTCATTATTTCCATTTTCCAAGTTAAAATTCCACAGGAAAGAGACCCATATCTTTGGCTAGTCAAGCTACATCATTACTTGTGTGAAAATGTGCTGACATTTTGCAGAATGGCTTAGTTATCACTATGAAAACAGTTATTAGTATCTTTTTCCTCTATTAGACAATTGTTTCCATGTTCCAAAGCCGTATAAAAACTTACTGAAGGTGGTACTAAGCTATATGATCTCTGCCAACAAAGTCATTAATGTATCTGAGAGAACAGACAGAGGTCAAAGCTGAGAACAGAAAAGTCCTGTTTGATTTGATGGAGCCCTTCAGTTACTCGGGTGGATAAAACCCCCTGTGTTCTGGTTGTTTGGAGTTTATTTCTGCTTTTCATGACCTCTAAGTAGTCTTTGGCTATTGGCATTCTCTTTTGTGGAGTTTGAATATGTTCTAGAAATGAGCTCTAGGAATTATTTTTAATTCCGAAGACTGAATTAATAGTCTATCATTCTGAATTTTGGGGTATTTTTACTTTGTACATAAAATAAAGATGTAAATGGAAAAAATGCTTCTGAACTCCTAAGAGTTGCTCTGAGTTGTCACCATCTAAGGAACACCTTAGATTATATGCTTTATAAAGGCAAATGGAGTTCCAATACTTGAGTTGCAATCTAAGCCGCCCTATGATTTTTCTGAATAGTGATGTTTTGAGTATAGTGCTTGGATTCAGTTACTGCTTTGAGTACCTTCCATTTAGAGCAGAAAACTGCTTGATGAATCAAGTGATACTATTGCAAGAGAAGAAAAGGGATCTCTGCTTTTCTGCAAATACTGCCTGCAGCAGTTGTGAAGGAAATAGTGGCAGATAATGACATAAAGGTCATTTTATTGAGAATAAGCCGCATAGAATTTGGTATAGATGTCATACCTTTCGCTTTCCTGAGGCTGTGGGTAAACATTTGACCATAGTATGAGTTACAGAGGCTAGGACAGAATGATTGTTACAGATTTTCTTTCTTTACTAGCTATATTTGTTAACCCAAAACATGCAGGTTTTCATCTGATTCAGCATCTCTCCTTATTGTATTAACGTAACAAAACTTACATGCTAAACCAAATTTTCAAGCAGGTACTAAGTCTCATACCTTTACACGTTCTTGGTTCTCTCCAACTAAGTTTAAAAAGAAGCAATGTGCCTATTCTCTAGTATGAATACAGACAAGAGGAGGAAAATCTTTTAGCTGTCTTTAAAAGAGTATTTTACTATTTTCCATAGAGTATTCTGTGAGCATGCAGAACTCCAGTACTTGGTTGATATATTTTTGTCATTACAGACTGTAACTAGTAATCCTTCCTACTTTCACACAACTTCAAATTTATCTGTTTAAAAATAAAAAAAACCACAGCAAAAGAAAAACCCATACAGGAAAGGGCTAGTTTCAACTGGGAGTTCAGATACTATGTACTTTTAAATAGCTACAAGCTACTTTGGTTTGGACCTCATCTTTTAGCATTTTTCCTAAATGGTGACCAACTGATCTTAGAGCAATTAAGTAGTGAAAACAAGTTAAAACAGACTAACTCTCATACCCGTATTATGTCTTCTGCTTTACCAGCAAATTGTGAGAGCTTGTTGATTATTTATTTTATCTCTACGTTAAAAGTTTAGCACCCCTCACTAGGTTCCAGCCAAAATCCTCCTCTATTAGAAAATAATGAAATAATATTTTCTTAGTGTTTCTGGACTAGTACAGGGTATAGCTGTCAAAGAACACTACTTTTGTTCTGTTTAGACTTTTGGCTAAAGGGTAAATCTGAACCTTAGTACAGATATCAGCCAATCTCTGTCATCAGCATACTTTATTTTTACTGCTTTCCCACGTATCTTGGAGTATGTGTAGCCTGAGTGTGGCAAAAAAGCCCTTTCTTTTACTCTTTGCACACATGGAAAGAGTAGTTTTCCTAATCAGGAAAGTACAGTTACTTAAGCAGCTGTGTAATCTTTCTTTGCCAAAACAGTATCACCACTGTGTGTAAGACTAAGTTCAGTGTACAGGGCTTAAGTTAGAGATGATGTTTCTTTAGTCACTTGAAAGAAAGAGGCCCTCTTCCCAAACTCCATGTTACTAATGTGAGTAGCTTCAGCAGGTACTTCCTCCACTGCTCTATCCTATACTTAGGGCAAGCTAATAAGGGGATTGGCCCTAAACAGCTCCCTAGCAAATTACTGTCTACTTTGTAAATAATTACAGAACTAAAAGCTGGACATTTGCTAATGGGAGCCTGAGTAGCATTAGCAAAGCTTAAGGGTTATACCTCTTGAATATTTTAGTTAGCCTGCTTTGGATCTCCCTTTTCCTTAATTGCTCAAGAGTTTAGGGAAGACAGAAATGCATGACAACTTTTTATTTTTGTATCAAGTGCAACATTGCAAGGAACAGATAAAACTCAGTTTACTAGTCCCATAGTATACAGAACTGAAAAACGCATTCTGCCATGCTGTAGGCACTGTGCGTAAGAACCTGGTCAAAATTTCAGTGCAATTGTGACTGGAAGAGCATAGCAGTGCTATTACTGTTACAACCGTATGTATCCCAGTGTCATTAATACATTTATGGTAAAGCAGAACGGCTACCACTCCAGTGTATGAGCAATCTCATGAATTAGATTTTACATCTAAAACAGCAAGCAAAGGAATCAATGCTAATCACCTTAATGAGGTGAGGCAACAAACCCAGTTTCGAGAATATCTTGAGCCAATTGATCACAACAGAAGAAATTTTAAGCTGAAAATACCTGGTTTTATCTAGTAGGGAGAATTGGAAATTGGGCAGTAATAGGTGGCCCAAGGAATTCTGCTTCCTAGCTTTTGCTCAGTGTTCATCTGTAGCACTGCAGAGGCCTTCAGCCAAGAAGTTTTTCATCAAGCTACTAGCAAGTGTAACTGACCACCATCTATACCTTTCTAGCTGTTAGTTCTGGAACAAGTCCTTGCATCACCACTGTTTGAGACAGGCATTTCTACTGAAGGTAGGTGTCAAGTTTCTTCTTGATGTTGTCAAAGGAATCCACTCCCATATAGTCAGCTTGGCCCTGTTCCCACCGTTCCTTGCGTTCTTCTGAAGATTCAGTTGGTAATACTGGTGATACTGATAAGTGGGACACTGCCTCTGTAACCTCTGCCTAAAAGGAAAGGCAGAGTAAAAATACAGAAATACTTTGCATAGCTAAAGTGAGCAACAGGCCATAGAAGAGTGGGACAACAAAGTAGATGTTCTCATGCGCAGTAGCAAGCATTGCCAACGGGCAGGGATTGTGCAGCTTTCCTAGCAAAATAACAAAGCAGAGTTACAGAAGTTAGCAAGGGAAAAAATAATTAAAAAAAAAATAAATTAAAGTTTAAGTTCTTCATACCTCTCTACAGAAGCCACAAGAGAAAGCCAGAGTATAGACCAAGCCCGATAGCTGCAAATAGTTTGTTAGAAAGATGCAAGATTACCAAGAGAAAGCACATCTTAAGAGATCATTAACTTTGGTATTGGAAAGGTTGAGAACTTAAACTGGCCCACGTACTAAGCTAAGACTAAGAAGTCTGCAGTCAGATGCAAGCTACTAAATTCTGAATGAGAATTAGAGTTCGAATCATTACTGTGGCTTTAATAAGTATTGGGATTCATCATTGCCATTTTATGTAAGTATTGATTCTCTAGTTATCCTGGGTTTACCTAAATTTGTTTCACCATGTGAGATCTGTATGTACCTATTTGCATGCTGAACTGGGGTTCTTCTGCTTGAGAACCTTATTAGCTGCAACACATTAAGAGTTAGGTCCCTTCTCTGTGTATATTAAAGAAGTTACTATAGTATAATATCTGGTGCAAGGTTAGCTTCTTACACTGTTTTAGGCAAGCATACAGCTACGTTCAAGACCACTACAGCATGCTTCTCTTCTGTAGTATTTTTTATTCCAAGCTTAAAAGAGCAAAACCAAAATACCCTGCATCCCCCAAACTAAAACACACCCATGCTTTGAGTTGGACAGAAGGAAGGAAAATCACTGCAATGGTAAATAACCCATCATCCATACTTGGGTATGGATGTACAAGATTATTAAAGCACGTACCATGTTTACACCTGGAGTAGTTTCTTTAACAATTCCATGCTGTTCTAGTAATGGTAAAACATCAGCTATGTAGGTATCCCACCACATGTTGAGGAATTCTGGGTGAACTATTTTAGGGTCGTCCATGTTGCCTTTTATGCTTTTTGTTCTGGAGTCATATGTGTAGTTCCATGGCTTTGTGCTTCCCAGGAAGTGCACCACTTTAGTACTTGCACCAAACCTGTTGGACAGAAACATTTTAGAAGCCATTTTATATATGTGTCTAGAAAATGAGTTTTGACTGGCAGACAGTTTTTTCTAACCTGCAGTTTCTGCATTTGTTCAGAAAACAGAAATATGAATATATTTAAGGGGCTAAATGCTAAATCATCAAACTGCCAATGCCTACTGCAACTGAAAGCATTGCTATAAAACAGAAAAAATGCAAACTGAATTCTACATTACACTAGTCAGAATATAGCCAAAACCTAATGATCTGGACTATTTAAATACTTACAGCCAACTCAAGTCTTTAGAGTGGTGTCCATAGCTCAGGAGAGAGCAGTCTCAAGCAGCCGTTGCAATCGGAACTGGTTTTAAAAGTGAAAAAGATTCTACTCCAAAGTCAGCAAGCCAGAGAGTTAGGTATTACAAGCATTATGTAGAGGAGGGTCAGTGCTGAGTTACCCTTTCAGTTTACAGCACTGTAGAAATGGATCATTGGAAGGTCCTGCTACAGGAAGACCATGACCCTGCAAAATGATAGCTTTGTATAACCCAGGCATTTCAAAGGACTCCTGATCTTGGTGCAGCAGGGTCCTGCTAGACAACCGTTATTTCCTAAATAACCTTAGTTTAGCCATGGATGGGTTTGGTGGTGGGTTGGTTTTGTTTCTTTTAAAAACCATTTTAACTTAGTTTTCAATGTGGACTTCTAGCTTTGTCCCAAATGTTTAGATGAAGTGTGCCTCGTCTCAAGTGAAGAACTTAACAGTAGCAGAGGTGACAATCATTTCATTCTTCTACAGTTCCAGAACCAGATTTCAGCTTGAGTCAGTTTTGTGAACAAGCAATACCAGTCTCTCGAGTAACAGTGACTGTCTTGCCTAGTTCAATTTGTATCATGTTACAATTTCTTCTCAGTGTAATATGACTGGAATGGATAATAACACCGGAGCAGTTTGTCTAAGCACATGCTGGTCATCTTGACCAGGACTCAGGCATTTAAGGAGTGTTACATATGGAGAAAATACAGGTGTGTTTCAAAAGCTGTAGAATATTCAAACTAAGGCAGTATGCTTTGGGGCGGGAGGGGGGTTCCACACTATTGTAAGATCCTTGACTATATTTCAATATTCACGTTCAATGTTTTGAACACAACTGATCTTACTGCAGAATGAAGACCTACATGCATATGAAATGGCCAAGTATTTGCACTAACTGCAAGAAAAAAAAAAGTGTCTTCAAGAGGTCAGTTACCAAGCTTTAACTTTAAATTCCATATGTCAAGATTTGGCATAAGAGGACTACATTAGTTTTATTAGCTGTCACAGTACTAAACAACCTGAGTTTTCATCTTAGGCTGCCACTGTTCTGAAGAGACTCGTTATTGTTCAAAAATCTAGGCTATTTAAGCAGCAGAATGCCTAAGAAGTGTTATGCTACACTTGCTGCAAATGGATAAGTGTACTCTTGATATTCTGTACACTTACAGCCAGAACAACAGTTGACAGATGCCAAGCTTCTATGATGTTTTCAGTATCTGCTTTCTAGATACCTTCTGGATCTGCAATACTTTATTTTGACATTTAAGTTCAACTGTTAGGAAGCTTTATGTCCACACTGGCCTCAGCAACTAATCTGTCTTTCCCCATCTCCCAGAAAAGTCCTTCATCAATGTTTTGAAGTTAGAGAGCATTTGTCATGAATTGGCATTTTCCTTTGGAAAAAGGATTACTGAGGCTGCTGTGAAATCTAGTCTCGCTGTACAAAGCTGCAAAAACCTTAGCTATTGATGTCAGTAGGTTTAAATTTCAGTATATTCTAACTGCTGATTATCAAGAGCGTAGCTGCTGATCTAACCAAGGGAAATTATTCCACCTATTGAATGGGGAATTTTACTTACAAGGGCTGCACTTCCAGCATTCTACTTTTGAAGGTCTGATGAGTTCTGTTAGGCAACTGATTCAATTAGTTAAACGGAATTTTTGTCAGAAGCCCCCAGATCCAAGTAGTGTTTTGTGGCAACAAAGTAATTTGTACAATTAAGGTCGCGTGACTAACAAGCCAGCCATGGAAAGAGGACGTACTTTACAATAGATGTTAGCTTATCAAATGCTATCCAGCTACTTAGTCATTCTGAGGCTTGCATATATTTCTTTAAATAAGTGTTCCACTTTTAGCATGACAAGATTCCAGATGGTATTCTGATCACAAGACATAGTTTGATCTTGAGCCAGCAACAGTCCTGCTTATGCTAGCCGCTGCTTTAGACACTAGTAAACTGATGTCATTCAGAGATCAGATTGTTTTTATGCAATTGGTACTTTCTGTCCCCCTTGCCCCCAGCTTCTGCAGCTCTTAATAGATAAAGAGTTTCTGTGTAACATTTCAGCTTCCCTTGCTTCCCCCCTCTTCCTCCTGTGTTATTATAATATTTTGACCCTGCCTCTGACATACAGTTTATGCACATGCCAAATGGAATACTGCTAGCTAGGGAGGATACAGTTTTCCTCACAGAGGAAACATGTAATGGTATGTGGCTGGCAGTAGACTTTGTTCCATAGTGCTGTTACTTAAAAATCTGACAGAGGTCAAGAAAGACTGTTGGGAGAGAATTCTAGTTTTATACAAGTCTTTGCTCACCACATTTATTTGAACGGTATAGGCTGATTAGATGAACTTTAACTACTGGTTATTAAATACCCTAAGTAACTTGAGTGAGAAAAGGACAAGTGGGAATGATACCAGCTCAAGTTGATTCAAGAGTCTACTGCCATTGGTTAGAACTGTACTAGACTGTATCCCATACTGGAGGAGTGGTTCTTCCTTTTGCAAGTGACCTGTCAAATGTACTTACTCTAAATTTTGGTGTTACTACCAGGGATGAGTGGTTTAAGCTACAGATACAGCTCTCTCTGCATTTATCTTGAGGTGACTCAGTTGACTTACATTAATTCAAGTTGTTGTTTTTTAAGAGAAGAAACTACTATATATTCAGTGACAATGACAGTCTCCTTCTAGACAACCTGTGTAAGCTCACATCATGCCTGTTCATTCTGTTACAAGAAATTAGTTTATGTAAGCTCTAAAATCTTCTAAAAAATTTGAACTTACGCTTTAAATGCTGGAAGGTAGGAATATACAGAAGTGCTGCTCAAATTATAAATAAATGGTAGATGTTTGCTCATGTCTGTTGTTGCCCAGCTGCTGAAGAAGGTGTTTAATAACCCCTGATCTGCACCTAAAAGAGAAAGTATTAATAGGCTACAAGCATCAGATAGCTATTTAAGGATCTTTTTCAGTCACTTCAGTAAGTAAGAGTTGGTAATGCGGTTGTCATGTCCAGTAGAAGTTTGGCACAGAGCACTAAATTTCTATTTGTGAACAACCCTGTAAACCTCGCAGCCTTTGAAAATCCAAAAAAATGTAGAGAATGAAATAGATAGTCTGTGTGGGGTTACTTTTGCTAAAAGATAGCAAGCTGCTTACAAACTCTGCCATTCAGTTTCTTTTACAGCTGAAGTTCAAGCTGTATGAGGCAGAAAAAACAAAATAGACCAGGACAACTGAGTACTGTTCAGCTTCAGGAAAGCTGTAGCTCAGAAGATCAAGTGGCAATAATTAGTTTATTATTTGTGCTTACAGATGCATAACCAACATCTCATTGCCAGAGTTAGGGTATCAGTGGCCTGTTAGACCCGCAGTCCCAGATGCATCTACCTCCACAGCAATCTGATAAAAAAAGGCACATTCAGTCTTGGTGACAACTCTAGTACAACTTCATCAAATCCCATAACAGACAAGTTATGTTCCTAGTTCTGTACTAAAAAGCTGCTGACTAACTGCTAAGTGAGGATAATATCTGTGTTGGGAGGGGCTACCTAAGTTTGCAGGTAGAGGTTGTAATGAGGTTAAGTCAGTCAAAAGTTGTTTGGTATCACAGTAGTAGAATAACTAAAAGAATAGTTTATAAGCAGCTATGAGAAGTAAAGCCCTATTTATTTATACTATTCGTTCTTTATTGCAATGAATATAATTAGTTTTTAAGTGGTAATAATTCCCCTTATCAAGGAAATTGAAAGGAGTCCCTCAACTTTCATTTGCTGTATTCCTTTCACCTGTAACTGCATTCACAAGAAGCATTACTAAAGAGTACATAAACAGATAGCTTAGTTGTAGAGACAAAGTTTTATTTTAATCTTTAATTTTCTCAAGCACTCAGTCTCTGCTGACTCAGAAAAGGGTTTTTATTTGCCTGCGATTAGAGTTAGGGCAGTATTAAGGTTTACGCCATCAGTGCTACTTGAGCAGAATTTGCTTTTTGCAACTGAAGTATCTAGACGCTGGGCATAAACTTAGATGTACAGACAGTACACTGACAAATATAAATTCCAAGTATCCAGTTACAGCTGTCAGCGTACATGCAGATTGCAGAGTGAGAAACTGCCAGAGGACTCAGTGCAGTAATTTCAAATCTCTGACTTGCCTCTGAGCCCCTAAAGGAAGGAAAGCACTTTTGAAAGAAGTTGTGTCCATCACAAGAGAACTGAAGGGGCAGCAGCAGTGTATTTAACTTACACTCTACAGGACTTCCTCTCACTCAGATTGTTTTACATACTCGTTTTTGTTTTTTTTTTTCAGATTGCATGCACTTGTGCTAAAGCAGACAATGAAAGCAGCATTTAGTTGTCCTAGTCCAGACTTCAACAATAGTTGTGTTATATAAACTGGATCTTAGACATAAGGTGAAAGAATCAGGCAGTACTTGTATTAACTACATATTTACAGATACAATATGTAAATACAGAGATATAATACAGCAAGACCGTAAAAGCAATTATTTTGGATCCCAGGCTAAAGAGACAGAGGATTATCAAAGCAATAGCAACGTTCTTAAAGTATCAGGACTACCAGATTTCTTTTAAAACTAAATTTTTCTTTCCCTTCCACTACTTTTAGATGGTATCTAGAGTTATTGCATGACATTGCTTTATATCTAGAAAGGTGAAGTTCAAGTAGACAAAGTGGTTGTCTACTTAAGTATCTATGATTCTGCCATTTCTGGACAACAGCATTACGTAGAAGGCTCCTGTCTGCTGTTATAAACATGAAATACTCTGGAAAGTCTTGCATTCCCTACTTACTACTACTGCAGATGAAGCACTTGCAGCCTGACTTCAACTAACACATAGCTTGGTAGCTTGTTAAGTTTGTATCCCCATGTCCTATTAAAAGCAGTGACCCTTCACAAGTTTTTCTCTTACTAAAAGTTTCGTAGAACCTTTTATTACTGTCTAGGTCAATTTAAGTTTCAGTCCCCTTTCTCCCCCACCAAGTTCCTGAGCTCAGCAGTAGCTTATACAGATGGCCTAAGTCTCCGTGGTCTCATTACTCAGATCAGTGCTATCATTTAATAAAAACTAAGTAAATTTTAAAGCTGAAATACAAATTACGTTCTAGAAATTCGATATCTAAACCATTAACCCGCTATTTTTGCTGTTAAGTGCTGCAACAATTATTTTGCATTTAGAACACTGAAGCAGTTTCACCATTGTGTGGCTTTAGCTTTCAAGTCGGAGAGTATATTGTGGAAGCAGTTCTATTCTTTTAAAGGACAGGGGCCTTCAAACTAGAAGATGGGGTCTGCTAGCAGTCAAGCACAGAGCTTGGAGAAGACAACCACCAAGTCTCAGATGGTGTGGAGCTACTCAGCAGTAAGTTTGCACAAAGATGTGTGTTTGTTTGGGGGTTTTTTTTGGTTGGCTGGCTTTTGGATGTGTTGGAGTTTTCTGGGGGGGGGCGCAGAGGGGGTCTTTTTGTAGGGGTTTTTTGTTGGTGTTTTTTTGTGTTATTTTGTTTTGCATTTTTTATTTTGGTTTGTTTTTAATGTAACAATTCAGAACTATGCTATAGATTTTGCCACAGCTGGTGATCAATTTGCACCCAACATCTGAGAGTGCTCACAAAGCTACCAACTGCTGCTTTGTCAGTAGCAAGGTACAGACCCTTCACTACATGGCAATACTCATTTTCACTAGAGTCTATTCCTATGGTAGCATTAAGCATCCAGCTGTGACTAATGTTCTCTAGAAAACTACATACAAGAGTCCACACAGTAACAGGGATTATTCTGCAGACTAGGAGTGACTAGTGAATTTTTACTTTTTGAAAAGTACTGAAAAGTAAGTCAACAGGCTGGCTAATTACCTTCTATCTAAGAGCTCCATTTTATGGTCTTGTTTATGTAGTTTTCTATAGCTTGTTAAGTTAGACTTTGTTTTGTTGTAGTTATAGTGACAGGAGACAGCAATACTCAGAAGCCTTTAACTATAGCAGTCTCCAAGCAACATGTGCTTTTACTGCAATGGTAATAGATTTAGTAGACTTACAGAACAGCAGAACTTGGCTTCTCAAGCTTAAATCTGGTACAGTGGCCAATCTCAAGTGACCTATAGTGGGAAGCAGCCAAGGCTATATGCACTTGATATTGGGAAAGAGACAGCCACCGCCCTGTAATGACAGGAAGCCATCACATAGCATATGAAGAGAGAGTTGTATCTTCAAATGTTTGATTCTCTGAAGCTGTGCTCAAGTTGACCAGTGCTATTTTTTCTGTATCAACTTGAGTGGCGTAGAACATTCAAGCCTTGAGTGTTAGGAATGCATGAAGCATGGTACTGCAGTTTCATTTGCTACTGCATGCACTGTGCTTGCTACCTCTTAAGATTTCTTGTTATATGATTCTACACTGTTAATGCTTACAGCTGCTAGTTTGGATGCCAAACTCAAGGTTTTTATTTCATGAAGTTTAAAAAAGGTAATTTCACTACATATTGTAATCATTGCCTCTATTTCTGAGAAGGATACAATTTTTGTGTAGTTACACTGAATTGAGAATTCTGTCATACAGAGTCCTCATGACATGTATGTAGTTACTGAGCCATCCCAACTACTGTTACCATTTTGGTCTAACTTATATTGAAATACAAATTAATACATACCATCAAAGCTGCCTTTCTCTGTGGCAAACTGTAACAGCTGATTGTATGTTTCAATAGAAGGTCGGTAAACAAAAACTCCTGAATTAAAACAGTCAGGCCAGCCTGGATCTGGTGCTGCAGACAGCTCCTCTCTCTCAAAAAGCTCATCGATATTTGACAAAACCTAATTGTAAAAGGGTAAAAAAAAAAAGTGGGTTTAGATTGGGAATCGTGGTATCGTGTTTTCATGGATTATGGCATCAACTTTCATGTCTTAAAGTTCTCATATCAATGCTCTTGTCCTGTGGAAGACAATACTTTTTGGAAATAGTCCCCACAGACTTCATTACAATTAATTTAGATTAAAAGGCACACACATTCTTACAGTTACTAGTCCAACTAGTAAAAGGCTTCTATTACCCCTACTCTTAAAAACAAACAAGCCAACATAAACAATCCACAGAAAAAAATCCAACAACCCCCATACAAGGTCACTAAGAGGTACCAGGAGATACAGCTACTTACCATTGTGTCTGCATCCATGAAAACACACTTCGTAAACTGTGTCAGTTCCCAGCAGTGAAGCTTTGTTAGTGTGACACCTAACTCAGGTCTTTTCATTAATGCCAAGTGTGCTGAATCCCCACTATCCAAGACGTTTACCAATATGACTTCATCAAAGACCTTTTCCAGCACTCTCCTGGGGAAGAGTCAAGATTTAGTTCTATTGTTACTCCAGCACCAGACCACATGAAAGATTCCTTAAAGAGAAGTGGTATAACAGGGAACCTGGCAGCATTTCTTATTTCATCAGTAAGAGTTGACTGCATATGTTGGAATGCAGAAGTTCCCCTGTCTGCCTCAAAGTTTCTAGTTTGTAATGGGCACATTTTGGGGAAGAAAGAAGTTTGTTTTTTTTTTCCCACAAACAGGGCATTGCTACCAAGTCCAGTAAGTCATGGCTATGTAGTGCAAACTTTTCACAAAGCTTTTTTTTCATCCAGTCTCTGATTTTTGGCAGCTTAACAGTCTACTTTGAACAGGCAATTAAGAAATGGGAAGCTGTTGGAGTAGCTTGAACAGGACAGTAGCTGAATCCTAAACACCTGAAACAGAAGTTTCTGCAATAGTTACAACACTACTCTTCTGGATTTGTGACATCTGACTTGACCCAGTTGCTAAAACTTTCTTTATCCCAAAAAGTTTTTTCAAAACTGACTTAGTCATGGGTGTGGCTACAGAAATGTTTTGAACCAGTATCATGTTCACTAAAGAGTGACAAACTTTCAGGCAGTGTAGTGAAGTTTTGTGGCAGATATCCAACCTTTGCTTTACCATCAATAAAGCATTACTATTAGTTCAAGAGAGATTAAGGCATTCATGCTGCTTAAAATAGGAAGCATCTGTAAAGTGTTAGTATTCTACAGTGTATCTTGAATGCTCAGCAATTACCAGTGCAATTTGAGCCACAGAGCTTGTAAATGAGTTTTGGAACTCTGTCATGCAAGGCTGTCTTTATACTGACAGTTTGGTGTGGACAGTTGCTTCTGAACTTAAGGCATACCCCGTTAGTGGAGACAGGGTGAGAAATGCAAGTTCTAGTTACGCCATTAGGTAGGTACGTATCAGTCTAAGGGCATAGTACTAGCTGGCTTGCACTAGCACAGAAGCACATTTAGGACTGATTCATCTTAAAAGAGCACACTCGGCTAATAGGCTGGCATGGATGTAAAATCTTAATGTTGATATGGCCATTTAGTTGCCAGGAGACTGCAGGGAGAGTTAGACCTTTTTTTTTTTTTATTGAGCCACCTCTCTACTGTCTCTAAATATTGAGAAGTCTTTTCAGACGAACTTTCCTATGTAGAGAATCTTGACCTATCATCTGTAGTTTTACAAACAGTACAAACTAACTGTTTTGGGTTTCTTTTCCTTCCTTGTATATGTGGAAAGAGAACCCAGTCCCCTCCATATTGAGATTATTCCAGAGAGGCTCTAGGAAGCAGTTGCCTGTTAATTTCACTTGTACTGTGGTGACCTTGTTAGATGCCTCTTTGAGCTACTGATTTGATGTACTTATTGATAATTTAGTTCTGCTTGTTTTCTTCTCTCGTGATAAAATTTGATTTGACGTATCTACTAGATTTCAAGAGAGCTTGTGTTATATTATCTCAATCAGGAATACTTCTGCAAAACAAATACCAACCCCCTACTCCCCTACTCACAGCAAACAGACAACGCTAATGAACACACAGGCAATATTGTTGGACAATTCTAAGTAGGACGATGAAATAGCAAAGATCCAGCTGAAATATCAGTATCAAGTCACAGTTTAGTAACTACAGACTATTTGTTTAACTCATCATAGGGAAGAAAGAAAAAACAAAACCCCACCAGAACATAATAAACAGTTTCATGTTTGAAGAATGTAGAGAATTCCAGATAATATAGATAAGTTGAATTCCGCTAAACTTAGCTGTTTAGCTTTCACAGTTTTGAAAGGTTACTATTAAGGAGTTTAACTTCCATTTCTCAACCTGCACATCAGCAGGAACTGTAGCAGTTTGAAGTATGTAAGTGACCTTACCTCATAAGATCTGAGACCTGAGGAGTTATGAGCGCAGTCAGCTTCCTTGTTGTTCTGTACTGTTGCAAGGATGAACCAAGTACCAGTGCTCCTTTCACATAGGAGTCATTTGTGGCTAGAGTCACAAAAGACTGGTCTGGAAGAAATGAACTTGGTCAAGTTAGCGCGATCCACTACTTTATTCTGAGACGGGTATACTAGAAACCTACTACTGTTAGGTAATCATGCTGTGATAACTAAGATGTGCCTTTTAACTCCGTATATAGGGCCTACCTACGTGGCCGAATGAAGTAGATTATACTTGCATAGCTATACTTGCTATAAGTAACTTGACACATGGCAAAATGCAGTAAAAAAACCCACAAAATCAAGACCGTTGCAAGAGAAAACCAGTTCAAATTTGCCCCCGTTAAATAAGTCACGCCAAATGTAGAGACAATCCAAAAAGTCTAAAGAGCTTTACTTTGGCCATTAATATGGTATTTTAACCTAAAAGCATTTGGATTCTGTGGGCTTGCATTTGGCCTGAAGTTAGAAGGGTGTTGTAGAATTACTGTGGGTTCAGCTCTCAACCCTGAAGCTACGGCAGTGTAAAACTTGCATTTCATTTTCAAATGAAAGTAAGCATTGAATTAGATCTTGGACAACAGTTTTAAGTTTTGCTAGCTCAGGATTTTGCAGATGAGTTGTTCTGCAACCCACAGTTGCAGCTCTATCACAAGAATGCAAGATTTAAATGGGAAGTAACTAGTAATACAAAAAGCAATTTAACATTTGCAGCAACAGTTTTTACTATTCAAGCAAAAAAGAGGTAAGTTTGGATTGTTAATGTAAAGTATAATCTGCTCCAACTGTATCACAGAAATAGATGAAGATGTATTGTTTTGCCATATAGTGCTTATTGAGGCCATATAATACAAGCTTTGCATTCTTTCAATTGTCATGTTGTTTTAAACTGCCAGGGTGGGACTGACAAAAGCAAACAAGTAACTTACAAAAGTTCTTCAGTTCACTGTTAACTATTGTCATGTAGACCTCCTTTCCAAGCTACAGCTCTTTATAAAGTATACTCTTTTCTACCAATCCATTTTCAACACTGTCAACAGAATAGTTTCTTCCTGAGAATTTCAAGGATAGATTTTGAGATTCAAGTTTATTTTAGCAACTCTGATTTCTTTTCTTTACAGAATTTGTTAGGTTACTAGGTTAGATCAGAGTGAGGGTTCTGGGCACTTAAAGGCTTACTATCAAGCCTCGTAGTAAGATTAAAATACTGACTTCTTTGGGAGAGATCGTTTGGCACAACTCCTAAGTTCATAAGGCAGTCATCATTAATATCTTTTAAATTTAATAGCACCTTAACTGTTGACGACAGAAAGTCACGTACAATAACTGTCTATAAGCTCTGCAAACCTGGTTTGCAAGATCTACAGACCAGCTACAAAACCTTCTATTTTGCTTAGCAGCAAAACCAACTAGTCCCAAGGGATTTAGATTATAGTGGTCAATCACAAAGATCAAAAAAGCTTCTATAATGCCAGGAATAAAGATATTTTGTTTCAATTCACTTTTAGCTACCTATTTGTACCAGTTCATATTCAGCAAGTCTACAGAACAACTTTATGTTTCCTTGAAATGGCAAGTATGTAACATTTTAAGTGATGTGAACATCCTCCAAATAGGATAGGGTTTTTCACTAGTTAATTTGCACGTTACTACTCAATACATAGAAGTCAGCCACTCTATGCTCTCAGACTGCTCACTAAAAATCCAGTGTAGACAAAGTGGGATTGTGCCCAACATTCATCTGAATGTTGCTTTTTTTTTTTTTTTCAGCAGTGTAAGACTAATTCTTAAAGTGACCTTGTCATTGAAAGACTAGTCTTTTTTCATTGACCTGCTAGCAGGTATACTTGTACCATGTCTTCTCATTTTATTGAAACTGAATATTCACACACAGAGGTCTATCTTAGAGAAATAAAGTCCATTTAATGATGGAGTAAAGACTAAGAAGCCCCCTATTACATCCAACTCCAGTAGGAGACTGTACAACTGCTTGACAGGAGGGGAATATTGCCAACTTGTAGACCATCCAAGTCAGCCCAGTTTTACAAAGCTTTGAATTAACTGTGTTCTATTTCAGATCTTCTCTACACTCATAAGTACATGAGTCCATGCTACAATTCAGGCAAGACCAGTTCCTGATAATTATGGAAGTTACATCTGCAAGAGACTAGTCCATTCTACATAAACCACAGGTATTTCAGCTGTTCGTATCTCCTTTCTCAATTTTCTGTAAACATTTCCTCCACAGCATCTTACGTTCACACAGCAGCCACTGTTGTGCCTGATACCTGTTAGTAACAACATGTCTGCAAAAACAGAGAATGAGATACAGTTGCACAGCTTCATAACTGACTTATCCAGACAAAACCATGATACTTCAGAGACACCTTTAGCTGCCCAGTTCAGAGGCTAGAATATCCCTTTGTAATTTGCGCCAGCCCTTACACAGCCAAGAGCATCCTGGACGTCTGAGCTAGGAGCAATCTTTCATTTGACGGCGTGCAGGAAGTGACTGGAGTGCTTGCCCCAGATCTTTTCAAAATTTCCCCGGAAGCTTTTTCGTATGCATAGCCAGAGTTTACAGGTGCTTGCCTTTTCCCCTGTTCTTTGAGTTAGGTACTCGTACATCTGATTTTTTTTTTTTTGATTACGGGATTCCTAGAGAGACAAGAGCATCTAATCAAGACATGCACCGGGAGGCAGACTTGCTGCAGGCTTCCAGATCTGAAAATGAAACCTACTCCGCTGACAGCTTCAGGTACGGGAAGAATCGGGGAAAAAAACGGAAGAAAAAGCCAGACGGACTTAAAGGGGCGGTAAAGAACTACTCATTTTAAAGTATCAAAATCACCGAAGTCGCACGCTGTCTATGGCGTTTCAGGAGAGAGCTGGGTTTTCCCCTGTGAGTCGCTGCGGCCCTACAGTGGCCCCTCTCGCCCGTCCTGCTCCCCGCCACGCTGGCTACATCCCTCCCCGTCCGGGGCCGGAGCCCGGGGCCGGGCACCGAGGCAGGCGCGGCGCGAGCCTGCACCGCGCCCGTCCCCTCGGCCCGCACGGCGGTGCCCGGCGGGGCGGCTCCGACCTCCCCGCGGGCAGCCGCTGCCCCCACCGGCCGCAGCCCTCCCCCGGAGCCCGCTCGCCGCCGGGACGGTCGCCTAAAAATAGGCGCGGCCGCCCCGCTCCCGCTCCGCTCCCGCGGCCCTCGGGCGCGGCAGCTCCGCTCCCGCGGCCCTCGCGAGCGGCGGCGCGTGCCGGGCGCGCACTGACCTGCCATGGTGCCCGTGCGCGGGTCGGCTGCGGGAGAGGCGGCGGCCGCGCTCAGGGCCGCGCTGAGGCCGCCCCTTATATAGGGGCGGGGCCACGAGCGGCGCGTTCTTGGCCGCGGGCGGAGGCCCCGCCCCGAGGAATCCCCGCGGGGCCGCGGGCGGGGCCCCCGCCATGGCCTTCTGCGGCGGCGGCACGTCACCCCCCTCCTCCGGCCGGGACGGGACCGCGACCGCGACCGCGACCGCTCCGGGAGGCCTCAATCCCCCGCCCACCCCGGGTGCCTCTCGGGTAAAGCGGAGCTTGAAAATACTCCACGGCGCGAATGGAGGGTAGGACCGTGTCAGGGAGCTGTGGCTCAGGCTGGCAGCGGCGGTGGCAAGGAGACCGTTGCTCCCGTGGCCGCTAAGCCCTGCGGGAAGAAGAACTAAAACCAGCTGCGAGGAGCGGTTTACAGTGTCCTCACGTGTCAGACATCCCCAGTCCTCCAGCCGCGTTAGGGCTCTGTGGCTGCTGCTGGCAGCCTGTGCCAGTGCTCGGTCACCCTCACAGTGACAGTGTTTCCTGATGTTTGGAGGGACCCTCCTGTGTGTCACTTGGTGCCCATGGCCTCTGGCCCTGTCCCTGGGCACTGCTGGGAAGAGCCTGGCTCTGTCCTCTTGGCATCCTCCCTGCAGGTGTTTGTACAGGTGGATGAGATCCCCTGAGCTGCTGCTTTTCCAGGCTAGATGATCTGAGCTCTCTCAGCCTTTCCTCGTAGGAGAGATGCTTTCTTGTCCCTTTGTTGTCCTGTGGCCCTTTACTGCCCTCCAGTATGTTTGTGTCTTCCGTACCCGGGAGCCCAGAACTCAGCACAGTCCTGCAGAGGTGGCCTCAGCAGAGCTGAGCAGAGGGGAGGGATCCCCTCCCTCGACCTGCCTGCCGGACTTTGCTGCATGCAGCCCAGGATACTGTTCACCTTTTCAGCAAGGGCACACTGCTGCCTCATGTCCAATTTGGTGTCCCCCAGAACACCCAGGTCCTTTTCCACAACCCATTATCTTACTCAAGATGATGGCCTATACCTGCTTTTTGACCTCAATAGATCGAAGGAACTCTGTTAGGAAGAGGATTTCTTTCTAACTTAAAATGGCAAATGAGGTTTGTCATGAAAGGATTTTAAAAAAACCCAGAAACTCTTAAGTGCAAACTGATGAACAAAGAACACTCCAAATTTCCGTAACATGGGAAATTATGTTTGAACTGAGACAATTTTTGTTTTAAAATCAAATTGCTTACTTTTCAAAATGCCCTGACTAACCACAAAAGACCCAAACCAAAACGTGCTTTTCAGCATATCATTAGTTTATAAAACATCATGTGCATAAAAATGTGTGAATCATAATTGTAGGCAATGCTGGTAGCGTTGTATATGTATGGGGATTACTAATATTTTCTGGTATGCAACCCTTTTTCAGGTATCCATGGCTTTGACAAAGTTTCTCTGTGATCGTGTTAGGCATGGTTTGTGTCTGTCTCAGATGAAAGTTTTGAGAAATTTTTAGCCAGCACATTTCAGCTGTGTCTAGCTTGTTGCTTTGCCAAGTTTTTGAGTGAAAACAATAGAATAGCCGCTGTTGGTGACTGCCCTCCCCCCGTCCCCTGGTTCCTTTGTATTATGTTAGAGTGGAGCAAAAGAGCATAATTCCTTCTGATTTCCATGTTAAACAATCAGAACAAAAACCCTAAAATTGCCAGTGTTTAGCTTGAAAGTGTGACAGAAGAGGTGTGTGCCCTACCCCTCTGCACACACCTGTTTGCACATGCCTGTTTGAGATTTTTCTGATGTTCATGGGTGAACAGGCTGTAAATTCTATGGTTCCCTTCTGTGACTCGATTACATGTACATCTGTGCCTTCTACTGACTGATTACACTCTTTTCTCCACAAGCTGAAGGCAAAAGTCACAGGAAGAACCTGAGAGATAAGCAGGTGTCCCATTGGCTTTCAGCACAAATGGAAGAAAAGATCATGTGACATGAGGATAGAAGGAAAAAAGCCCCCTAAAAAGAGAAGAGGACAAGCCCTCATGAGATGAGGGCTTGAATGGGAAAACATCTAAGCCTAGGATAAGCTGAGGAAAAAAACCAGCTAGGCCTCAGTTTTGATGGAAGGGAATAAATTTGAGACCCAGTGAAAGATAAGTATATGAGGATGGGAATGAGACAGAGAAACGGTGTTACTTGTCAGCACACAGTAGGACTTGGTTAAAAAAACCTAGTGAGGAGAAAGAAGGCATAGATTTTGCTAGAGAGACAGTATTCAGAAAGAACAGACGAAGTGCTGCATAGCAGTTCATTAGGTGAGTACTGGAGCACAGAAGAAGGTGCAAGTCCTATGGAAAATGAACCCGTGATCGTGTAATTTAAAAGTTCCACCACCATGTATGTCACAGAAGTCAAATTGCACATTATAGAACTTTCTCTTTTTAATGACTAATAGTTTTATTTTAGTAGGAACTTGTTTATAACTTAATTAAAAAGGTGTTTCAAAACACCAAATACTAAGAAATAGCTTTGAAATATAGTTACAATTTATATAGCGGTAACAGAAACTGCTATCCCTGCAACTGGACCGTGTGAAGTGTAAACTTCTAAAGCACTTAATTAGCCATTTACACATAAGCTAATTAATAATTTTGCAAATGTGCACAGTGAGTCCAAATGTTAAATTAATAAAACATTCTAGAGGAAGTTTCACAATAAAACATTACTTCTGCCTCTGAAAAATCTAGGGGATAAAAACCCTAAACAACCCAGAACAGCTGATTCCATGTATCCAATCCAAGTTTAAAGTACTTAGTGGAATTCCGTTTTTACAACACTGCGCTGAAATTGTAATCTGTCTGGTTAGGAAAGAGACTTCAACAGTGTGAAGTGCATAGCTGAATAGATGAAAAGAATACAGCCCGATTCAAGACTGTATTGAGAGGTTCGATTCCCATCTCTGTCTTGCCCTAAACTTGTCACAAACTTCTCTGATGACAGAAGCTGTTGTGGATCATTCCCTCTTCTTTTTGAAGCCCTTCTCACCTTGACCTTACAGTGAAGCTAGACTGGACATTTATTATTTGAGACCTTACGAGTATTTAGCACAAATTTTTCCTACTGCTGGGATTTCAGTATAATGTAACTTAAATATGACTGAAAAGGCCTTGGTGTTTCTATTTGAATAATCAAAATATTATGTTGTCACTCCAGCTTATTTCAAGCCTTCACATTCTCCTTTCCTAATGGGCATTCTCTTTGCCCCTCCCAGAGCCAGTTACAGTTCTGGCCTTGTTTTTTTAAAAGAAATCCCACCTGTTACATAAATGTCATAGTCTTCTAAAAAGCTAGGCTCTATCATTTGCTTGGTGCATGTTAACGCGTGGCAGTGAGCACATGTTTAGAGGATTAAGGAATTCTTGTAATTTCTTCTAACTAACATGATAAACATTCTTATAAACAGTGAAGCAAGTAGGTCTCAGTTTCTTTTGTATTATCTTTTGGTTTGATTCTCAGTGGTCTACAATGCAAGCTACAACAGAATCTTTTCTCCTGGTTGCATGAATAACCTGGCATATATTAAGAGGTAAATTGCTGATGAGCCTTTCTTTCTCACTGGAGAAATAGTTACCTCTCTCACCAATCTTTACAAAACTGTTAAAAAGTTGAAGTGCTGAGACCTCCCTCTGCTTCCTTAAACTTAATAACAAGGTCTAAATATTAATGGAGAACACAGAACCATGTAGAACTGATTTATAAACCTCCTTTCCTTCAGCAAATAGTCTAAACAAGGTGTGTATGTGTGTTTTTCTCCTAAACTGGCCTCTGCTTCATCTCTGTCTGCTCCCCTTTTCTAGTGATTCTTCTGGGATGGGAGATCACAAGACCTACTGATTAGGACACGTAGCTGGGAGCAGAAAGCAGGGGTTTGTCACCAATTCCACTCCTCATTTGCCTGCAATAAATGCAGGCAGTGCAGCTACTTATTTCTCTTTTTTTTCCTCTCTTTACCACTTGACTAAAACCAGTAAAGTCCTCTCTTGCTCTGTATTTGTACAGAGGAGTCTCTATCATGTATCCACATTGTAGCTGCTGCTGCCTCAGTAGGTAACAATAAATCTTACAGTTTCTTGCCTCCACAGATGTGCTGAGCGGAGTTTTAGACTCTCTGAAAATAGAAAAATTCTAGTATCTCGTCTGAACATGCATTTTCTTCCTTACTGCAGGAAGTGCTAAAACTCTTAAAACAAACTAGCAGATGATAAAATTCCTGGAGATGCAAAGTTCTCAGGGTGTAGAAATTCTAGCAGGGATTTGGGAAGAAGCAGTAGTAATACTTCCACAAAATTACTCAGACTTACAGCAGTGCTCTAGTTCCATGCTAGACTTGTGCTGAATTTCAGGCTAGTACTTCCTCCAGTCTAGGCCATGTC